GTTAATCATCAAATTTTTTTTTCCATAAAAAAATCACAAAACAATTCCTTTTCTCTTTTCTTTATTTTATAAATCTTCCTGTGCTTTATTTTCCAATATTGTAATTGTTCAAAGCTTGTAGAAAAATTAGGGTTTATTGCTTTCCTCTTCATTTTTTATGGTTTGTACTCCCCATCCCCGAAGCATTATAATAATAGCGTAGGACATTTAATTTCCATAATTTACTGCTTTCCTTATTACTGTTAGTAATTAAGGTTTGTATGGCAAGATTAAAATCAAATGTTAGATAATCTAATCTCAAGACAAATACTTGAAATCAAAACACTTCGCACACACGCACCTCTAGGATAACCTCACTTATTTCCTAAGATATAAACAGCTGTGTCCGTCAAACGTGAGATGCTTTAGTAAAGACCCTCGTTTAAAAGATCATAGTCCCTCGATGACTCTTCGATGCTGCCTTCGGTAACGATCTCAGTCCCTTACGACAATTGCTAAAACGTCTCACAAGTTGCCTTCTATGACTGTACGATAACCCGCGTTTGTCCCTCACATCCGATGATAGGGCTTCTTATTAACTAATGGTAGGGTAGCACTATCTAAAGGAGGAGGAAAAAGAACAAAGACTTTTTTTTGAGTAGGTAGAACGCTCGTAATCGCTTGCTCACAAACTTTTCAAAATAAAACATCTTTTCATAAAACAACACTTTCTTTCACAAATATTTCCAAAACAAACATTTTGTATACATTCTCAATGATACGAGAATCATTACAAAATTGCTTCACTTAGGCATTTTCAAAATATTTTCAAACATACACAAGCACACAACATTTTTTAAAGTGAGCTAGCGATTAAGAGCCCGTAGATAACTACAGATGAAAAAGGTGCTAACACCTTTCCTTTTCATAACCTACCCCCCGAATTCAGAAAATTCTCAAAGGTCTTTCCTGTTCTTTTCACCCTTTCTTTTATTGGATAAAAGAAAAATTCGGTGACGACTCTTGCTATCCGCAACATTTGCGATAAAATGCAAAACCAAAAGTCAGTTCTCCCACCGTATTACATCAAGATCATTTATTCCTTTGGTTACTATAGTCTGAACATTTTCAAATACCCATTTGTTCCATATTCTTAAAAACTTCTTAAGTGTTTTCAACTCCATGATTATGGTATACACCATACAATCCACCATATTGATTTTCCAAGGATTTGCCACTTTGTTTGCAAGAGGAATTTGGGGTCCATATCTTGTGGAATTCAAATGAGCTAGGAAAGTCCACTCTGTCCATAACATAAATGAACAAAAAAGGATGGTGGATAAAGTAACATTTAGGGAGGGTATTCCAATTCACAATGATTTAATGAGTAATCCACTTTGTCCCTAAGGAAATGAATATGATATGGATTGATTGTTAAGGCAAAATCATAAGCAATTGTGAAAATAATAACAAATATTTTATTTGGAAGTCATCCTTGCGCGATGATGTTTTATCTCTTTATTTTATTTATTTTTGGTAATGTGGCATGCATAAAGGTTGTTTATTTTTTCATTGCTTAAAAATGAGAACGTTTGTTTCCACCAACGACACAAATATTCCGATCTACAACTCTATTTCAAAATTTTAACAAAAGACTATGAAAGGAAGATGATGTTTTGACCGGTATTAGTGAACATGACATGTAAAATATGTGAGAATTTAAGGATTAAGATGTGTGTAACGTAAGTGGTGATAATGGTAAATTTATATGATGTTGAAGTTGAGTTATTGGAGTTGAATTAACCAAAAGTCTAAACTAAAACATGACAAACGCCTTGAAATCTCTCATTGAATTAATCCAATAATTTCAATTACTTTGTGGAACATTTGGACATTTCTTTGAGTTTATCTAATTGTTGATTTTTTTCACTTATGTAAAAATCTACACTAGATCAAATATAAACCTAGTAATTATTATTTATTTTTATAGATTTATTTGTTTAAATATATATTTGATTTCTGCTAATATATTATTTTTTATGTTTTAATGCCTATAATTTTATTTGTTTGATTTCGAGAAACTCTAAAATATGTATGAAATATTTATTTTAATTTTATATCATTAATATTGAAGAAATAAAAATAAAAATATACATATTACATAAACCAATTTTAATATAACATTGTTATTTTTTTATGTTGCTTTAAATACATAATAACATTATTTTTAATAAAAACTAAAACAAAAGAACAACATCTAAAACCAAAATAAAATTACAAGACTAAAATAAAATACTAGTACTATTGTACAGCTACAACAATCTAAACTGTTTTAACACGTGAATTTCACCCGCAAAAAATATTATCATGCGTAACCGGTAAAAAAACTGTCAAGGCTAAATAAGTGTGATATTTACTTTGACCGAAAAAGTGTGATATTTACTTTGACCGAAAAAGTGTGATATGTTATATAATATAGAAAAAAACTTAGACGTATTTATTTAGTTGTAGTTTATGTTTTTTTATAATAAAAATATAATAAATATATAATTTTCTTTTACTTAATTTTTTTAAATCTTTACTTTTTAAAAAATATTTAAATATATTTATCCTATTTTTATTGAAGAAAAATATATACTACATCTATAAAATTATATTTAAGTATTCTATTATAATATATACTGTGATATTTTGTTGGAGAAAAATACACATATCGTAGTGAGTTGAATGTGTGATTCCCAATCTGAAACCCTAGTAACCACCTTCGTTTCACGCGAACAACAAACAATGGTGAGAAAGAGAAAGCTCGTCGCTAAATCTTCTCAACCAGAGGAACCACCGCTCAAACAGCACCACTCTCAACCGCAACCTGATCCCGAACCGGAACCGTATATCCCCACCGAAGAAGTTGAGGAAGAATACGAAGAAGTTGAGGAGGAATATGAAGAGGTTGAAGAAATAGAGGTGGAGGAAGAAGAAGAAGAGGAGGAGGAGGAAGAAGACGGAGGTGAACAAGCTCAAGGTGGCGAATACCTAGAAGAAGACGATGAACCGATTAAGGATCTAGTGGAGCCTTTCACCAAGGAACAGATCGCGACTCTCCTTTGCGAAGCGGCGGCGAAACACCGCGATGTGGCGGACCGGATCCGTAAGATCGCTGATGGAGATGCTTCCCACCGGAAGATCTTTGTACATGGTTTGGGATGGGACACCACTTCCGCAACGCTGATTAACGCCTTTTCGCAATACGGTGAAATTGAGGATTGTAAGGCTGTTACTGATAAGGCTTCTGGGAAATCTAAGGGTTATGGGTTTATTCTTTTTAAGAAGAGGAGTGGGGCGAGGAATGCTTTGAAGGAGCCGCAGAAGAAGATTGGGAACCGGATGACGGCGTGTCAGCTGGCGTCTATTGGTCCTGTTGCACAGACTCCGCAGCCGGCGGTTCAGTTGGTGCAGCCAGGCTCGGAGTATACGCAGAGGAAGATTTATATCAGTAATGTTGGTCCGGAATTGGATCCGCATAAGCTGTTTGCCTATTTCTCGAGGTTTGGAGAAATTGAGGAAGGGCCGTTAGGGCTTGACAAGGCGACGGGGAAGCCGAAAGGGTTTTGCTTGTTTGTTTATAAGAGTGCTGAGAGTGCAAGGAGGTCATTGGAGGAGCCTCATAAGGAATTTGAGGGGCATATTTTGCACTGCCAGAGGGCAATTGATGGTCCTAAGGCGGGGAAGACTCAACATCCACAGCCACAGCAGCTACAACATGTGAATTCATTGAATCAATTCAATCAATTGAACCAACTGAACCCGGCAACTCAGAGGACACAATTTCAGAGAAATGACAATGTTGGATATGTTGGTGGTAGTAGTGTTGCAGTTAGTCAACCAGGGCACTTGATGGCTCCGGCAGGACCAACAATCGGGTACAACCAGGCCGCTGCTTCTGCTGCACAGGGATTGAACCCGGTGCTGACGCCTGCTCTTGGACAGGCTTTGACAGCACTACTTGCATCTCAGGGTGCTACTTTGGGGCTGAGTGATTTATTGGGGAGTCTTGGAACAAGTAATGCTCTTAATCATGGTGGTGTTCCAGCTGCAGGTCATGGAGTTCAGAGTGGGTACAGTGCTCAGCCTACTATAAGTCCATCAGTTATGGGAGCCTATGGGAATTCAGTACCACAGGTTGGGTTGCAGGTGCAATATCCAAACCAGCAGATTGGACAGGGTGGTTCTGGAAGAGGGCAATATGGCGGTGCTGCATCTTACATGGGGCACTAAGTGGTTTGCAGGTATGTTTAAAGCATGGTATTCATATTTTCCTCTTCAATATTGGTTTATCCTCCTCCCTTTTAGCCTGTTTTTGATACTTTAATATCTGTTGGATGCTATTTTTTGCTCGTGTCGTGATAAAAAACAGGGAAATATTTTGGAGACAGGTAAAGCAAGCTGTTATTTTTTAGTCTAGTCCTAGTATCTAACTTTCAAGGGTGTGAAATAGGTTATATTGATTATCCATCATGAGTTCACTATATTCCCTGCCTCTTTGTTTTTGACAAAACAAACACTTAGTTCCTTGATTTGTGTTTTGATGTTCATTTAGTTCCCCCTTTCCCACGGTTTTGCTTCCCGATTTCTCCCTTTATGATCTTTTTGTTAGTGTTTTTGTATGATGAATCCTATGCTCTGTTTGGAATATACTTTCTCTTTCACCTCCTAGCTCCAAGTTATGCTTAAGCCAAAAATAGTTTAGGGTTTTACTTTGTTTGATATTTTTTGATATCGTTGGTGATTGAGAATTAACAACTTTGCGTTTGTGTTATCTATAATGGCATTGCACAACAATGTACATTCATGTGTGTGCATAGTTTCTCATTTAATGCACATAGCTTTATTTTCAAAGGACATGCATCAATAAATTGGACAAGCTTGATTAAAATATTTGTGAGAGAAAAGGGGAGTTGGTTTATTTGCGTTCTGAAATTATGTGAGAAAGTGAAGCAATGAATCTTTGAAGTTTGTCACATATGGCTTTTTGGCAGCCTCTCTGTTATAGTGTTGTTTGCAGTCTCAGTTTGATTTGCACTGACTTCGCTATTCATATTTTTTTTCCTAAATTTCTGTGCACGTCCCTCCCTCCTCTTATTTGCACCAACTTCAGTAATCCTATTATATTCTTGATTGCTTGCGAGTTGAGGAACTCAACTGAGTTGAACTCTTTTATGAACTTCTGAGTCATGCTTATGATCTGTTTAGTTTCTATAGCCAATTTATGGAAAAGATTTTTTCTTATTTTCTTCTAACTAAAACCTACCTTTTACAGCCCTCTTATTTGTTTGAATAGATGTTTTCTAATGTTTTTGGCTAATAAGCGTCATAATTTTTGAAGTACTTTTAATAAAACATTTTTGTATCACACCTTCCATATACCCAATATGTTCAATTCTAATCATTTTGAGCTGGATGGTTGAGTTATAATTCTCAACCAGTTTTGCGAAATATTTGTTTTTGGGTCCATTTTTACTATTTCCAACGCAAATTGTTTTTAACGCTTTTATATTTTGGACAATTCCGTTCTATTTTCAACTTAAATTGTTTATCTTGATTTTTATTCATTTTGCAGATACCACATAAGTGCATCAGTCTTTTATTACTGGCATGGTGATTCTTCTGAAGTTTAAGGAGCTGATGCAATTGGCGTGTTTAAAATGAAATATAACCTAGTATACTGATCAGAATATTTAAATTTCCAAACCGTGTTCTGTTTTCGCCGCCTACTTTTTCGTAATTTCTTTAATTTCAAACTATTGTATTATTTTGAATTTTAGTTTATCTTCTAAAAACCTATGGAACTGTTTTTAGTAGTACTTTGAACTTTATTTACATCCTTACTTTCACTGGTTGGATGCTGAACAAGTTATATTTTAAATTTTATGTATGTGTGGACCATTTTGCGTCGAAAGCTTGGTGTTCAAGAGCTGATAGCCATTTTTTATGTTATTGAGTACTGTTTTTCCTTTGTTTTAATTATTTCTTACACAACATTTTGTTTCTTTTTTTAAATACGGTGATGTGCATAATATACTAAGTGCAATACCTGATAGAAACCGGCACCAAAGTACAGATTAATTGTAATAACTAAAGAAATAAATAGTACTATTAAAAAATACAATCTCTCTCTCCAAGAATCCAAGAGCTTGGTCTCACCCTCCCAAAACCATTCAAAAACCATCTTATAATCAGTTTCTCATTTTCTCTCTATTTATTCCTATAACTTAACAGTATAACTGAGATAATAAAACTGCCCATAACTGGATTATGAGGAGTCTTAACACTATCATCCCCATGATTAAAACTGACTAGAAGCCAATTTGTCAAGTTTTGTTTTCTTTTGTCTCTGTTAATCGTCTGTGAACCTAATATATTGCAGTTATTTTGCAGGTTTGACAGCCATACTTATATAAGCATGTACCGATGATAAAATCAATCAAAATTAAAATAGAAAAAAGTTGTACCAAAACAAAGGAAAAACAAATATTTCTCTTATTTAAGTTTGATTTTTTCTGCTTGTGATTTTCCACATTTTTAGAAATCTTTGTATATATGGTAGAGTTCCTCAATTAGGTATGTGATGCAGTTTTCTTTGGGCTTATGCGTCTTTGGTCTCTCAAGTAGCTTATTTGTGATTTTTGAATTTAAACCTTAATTTTTTTTTTTTTAATGTTACTAAGGACTTTCTCTCTTCTTTGTTCCCCAAAACTATCAAATTTACAATTTCAACCAAAACTTATCCACAAATTGAATAGTCTATTAACTTGTTTTCAAAATCCACCTTTCGAAATATCAATTTTCTCCGGATGAACCTAAAATGTTGCAATCCTCTTTGGTCGTAGTTGTAGGTTTGCTTATTTGATAAAGATTTTTGAGGTTTGTCAAAGTTGGGAAAAGTTTTGTTGCCCTTTTCAGGGATTACTTCTTATTTGTTAGTTGTTCCTTTTCTATTGTCTGATTAAGCTTCACCTTCTGTTTTTTGTCCCTTTATATTTGTTCCTCAAAGGTCTGATTAGTTGCCCGCTGGAGCAGTTTTAAAGCAGCTTGGTTCAAAATGTTTCTGAATTCAAAAAGTTTTCTTGACACCCTTTTGGATATTTTTGGATTCTTTCCAAACTTTCACATTGTTATATGTTTGTTTTCAAGAAATCAAATTATCATTTAAGTTTTGTTAATCCTATAAAGTAAAAAGATGAAGTCAGCTCAGTGTGATAATAACAATGGAATTTTTAGTAGCTGGTTATCCTCAAACTAATAGGTGGCTTTTTGCGGACGGGAAGGTAAGTTGCAGTATATTGTTGTCTAATTTGTTATGTTTATTTCTTGTCTTGGTTGAAAAGAATGTTGGCATACTAAATGGTTGATAGTCTTCGTACTGAAGAAAAGACCTTTGCCTGATTTTTGAAGGAAAAATAGCTAATTTATTATACTTGCTCGATTATTGAAGGAAAAATAGGTAATTTGTTATACTTGCTCGATCCAAAGGAAGGTGTAGTAAATTTAACATCTACTCGAGTACCGATTCTTTGATTGGTTTTTGATTTATAATTTATAAACAACTGTTGTATGTGTGGAAATTAAAACTCCATAGCTCTGTTTAAATCAACTTCATAGTTTATGCTCCTGTATTGCCATGTGGATTATTGGTTGTTGATTTAAACAACTTTTGTGTCTAGAAATTAAAACTCCGGGTGTGTAGAAATTAAAACTCCGTGTTGCTACTTCTGTTTCTTGTGACAAGTTTTTTCTATTGTGTTGCTACTTCTGTTTCATTTGGCACTTGTACTTTTGTGGCACTCAATCTCATTTACATGGTTGTGTTGCGCTATCCCGAGAAATTATTTTCATATTATGTTTGGGACTTAGTAGAACAAGATTTTAGAAAGGATTGTGGTCAGTTGCTGTGTGCTGTTATAGACTGTTTTGCTAGTGAGTTCTCTTATCAGGACTGTTTTGCCACTGAAAGTTGTCTCCCTCGAATGGGTTAATTTCAGCTTTATATATACCTTGAGTAAGATTGTGATTTTGTAAGATGTTTGGATTGGAAGAAAAGATACCTAGAAAAATGGAGGGAGGGAAGGGGCCAATATTATTTAAGGGGGCAGAATTAGAAAATTAAGAGGGCTGTAATGTAAGTATGGTTGTTTGATGGTAAAGAAAATAGTAGTGAAAATGGTGTTTTTCTTCTTTGATTGATTATCTAGAAATTTAGAGATATTTTTTTATATTATTTATAATATATAGCCTCCTTTTCCATTAAATTAGTAACCTTTGTTTTAATTGTTCTTTTTGAAGTAATTGTTTATCTAGTAAATCCATGCTTATTATACAGGGCTTCAACTTTTTGTAGAACTTGACACTTTAGAGTATTAAGGTATTAAAAATCAATCATTTTCTTTTCTTCAAGAACACGCAACAACATAAATGCATGACTCAAGTTTGGTTTCATTTTCGCGTAAGCATTTACTTTGTTTTGGTCTTTCTCTCCATTTTTATTACCCAAATAGTAACCAATGAAGGTTTTACTCTAGTGTTTGTATAATATAATTATCGCCCCTACGTTTTTTAATCGTGCCTACCAAAATGAATAACCTAGTGGGATCAGAATAAACTGAAGGGCAATCAGAACACCTTTTGCTTTGTACAACTATAGAAGTGCGAGGGAAAAAAGAAAGAATATAAACTCTCTCTGTCTGCTATATTTCCTATCAATTGATCTAAAGGAAAGTATAGTTTTTTTGGCTCACTGCTAGATCATATCCTAATTTAGTAAAGTATTGTTAGCTATTGTATTCAATTTAAGAATTATGAGTTTTATATATTAAATATGTACTTGAAAAATGTTTTATGTTTTTTGACTGGAAATAGTGAAAATATTTAAAAAATTCAGACAATTGGATTGATGATTTTGCTTTAAAAAACTCGAAATTTGCGGTTTATCAATTATTTAGTAAAAATATTTAGTCATTATTCAATAGTAACTAATTTAAGTATTGGAAAACTAATATTTTAGGTAATTGAATATTTTGTTGTCCTTGCTCAAATGAGAACATACACAAATTAAAAGAAAAAGGCAGAGCCTTTGTTGTGTGAGATATAAATGTACTAATCTCTAAGATTTTGTTTGAAAATTTAGAGGGGAGGGAAGTACGGGTTTTGAAAAAGGAATTTTTAAAACCATATAAAGAAATATTTAGCATTTTTTAAAAGAAAGATTTTTATATAATAATAAAAGAGGGTTAAACATTTATATTTTAGTTTTCAAAATATTGTAACAACATAAATTATAGTTGAACAATTTGTTTAATTTCTCTAAAACACTCCAAATATTTGCTCAATATGATTTTTTAGTTTTTTAAATTAGTAGGATTTTGATATTTAAATAATAACAAATCTCCAAAATCCTTTTCGTCTAAATTCTTCTATTTTTCTCTAAATCATTCTCTCTCTCTTTTCTTTTTTTTCTTTCTCTCTTTCTAAGTTCTCCCTTTCCTTCTTTAAATTTTCAAACAAATTGTATTTGAAATAGTGAGAATAATTCTTTTTTTTAAGCTCTCCCTTTCCTTCAAATTTTTAAACAAAGTGTACTTGAAATAGTGACAATCGGGAGAACATCAACTTGTCAGAAACTGGAGAACATCAACTTGCGAGAAGAAATATTTGATTGAATGTAAGTGTTAAATTTGTTGATAATGAATTTGATTGTTGAAGTATCTTAACCTTAGAGAATCCAATTTATTATGGAAGCAAGGGGTTAAGTTGACATGGGGAAAAGAAAACCTAATTAATTATAGAAGGGGTTAAGTTAATTTGGGGAAAAGAAACCTTATGGATAATTTTGAGGAATAGGATGAATTAAGGATTCGATTTAATTTAGTGTTAGGTCTTTGATTAAGTGTATGTTTGGGTGAATTTCTAGCAAAGCAAACGTGCGGTGACACCGCATTTCGAGATAAAAGTACGTGAAAATGGAGAAGTTCCAAATTGGAGCATTAGAAAAACGAGTGGTTTCAAACGAGCACTACAGCACACCTCTAATGGAGAGGTTTTTCACGCGTTACTCTAGCCAGACATTGGTTTTTTCCTTGGATAAACATTTAAGTGTGTTGTAATCGGTTTTAAAATGAGAATCATCATTCTTAATTTTTATCTTTAAAAAGAGGATATAAAAGATAACTCTAAT